TGCATGTATGTATGCATGTACGTATGAATGTATGTATGCCGTATGTCTGTGTGTATGTGTGTATGCGTGTGCGTATGTATGTATGTAATTATATGTTTGTATGTATGTATGTAGGTAGGTAGGTAGGCAGGTATGTATGTATGTACTTATGTATGTATGTATGTATGTACGTAGGTATGTATGTATGTGTGTATGTATGTATGTATGTATGTATGTATGTATGTATGTGTGTGTGTATGCATGTATGCGTGTATGTATGTATGTATGTATGTATGTATGTATGGATGTATGTGTGTATGTATGTTTGTATGGTATGCATGTTATGTATGCTATGTATGTTATGTATGTTGGTATGTAGGTATATGTATGTATGTATGTATGTACGTAGGTAGGTATGTATGTATGTATGTATGTATGTATGTATGTATGTATATGTGTGTGTATGTGTGTATCTATAAATAATGCACATGTGTATGTGTTGATATAAAGTCCCTCATAATCAGGTTTGTGTCTATTCGTACATACCCATACAGATTTCACGCCGTGGAGCTTGGACGCATCTCCGAAGGCGCAGTGAGTGAGTGAGGGAGTGATACCCGCACAGATGGCTCGGATAGCGGTAAGCCTTGCGGCAGGGTCTTCGGACATAGGTGAGGAGATAGCATTCAGAAACCGAGCACTTCAAGAGATGCACCGCAGGTTTCCTTCCTACTGATCTTCAGCTTCCTCGGTTCGGAGCTAAAGCTGATAAGTGTTCCACGTCCGAAGCCCTTGCATCAGATCGCCGCATCGGGCAGCCTGGGCCGTGAGGCCATGAAGGCGGATGGTGTCTGTGTGGGATTCAGGCTGTTTGGTCGGAGCGGGCTTTGGCTGCAGACTTCGACCTTGAGCTCACACGTCTGCTGGAACCGTTGCTTGCAGGCCCCACTGATGTCTTGCGTGTCGAGACGGAAGCCACTCTCCACCTCCACTCGTAGAGCCCTGCAGATCGTGTCCCGTGCTGCATTCGTACGACTGGCAGAGCTGCGCAGCGAAGCAGGCTCGTACTGTGCATTCTCTAACATTTCGATGGCCCAGGGTTGAGTGATTACGCGGCGCCCTGCGACTGTTTGCTAAGGTTTGAACATAAAATGTCTGTAAAGCAAAGAGCCCTTTCGCAGCCACAGGCGCGCGGCCGCCCAAGGTCATCAAAGGCATGATCACCTGGATGCAAAGCCCCGGTCCTACTTAAAAAAGAGTGGCAGATTGGAGACACCATGCCCCGAACATTGTCAATCATTCAAGCCAAAGTTTGTCCAACGGGCACGTCAAGCATCACATCATTCCCTAAAGCCTAAACCCTTAGTTTGAGAAACCTTGGGGGCCCGAGCCATCGAAACCCAAAGGTACGGAGTTGCACGAGCTGGCAGCCAGCAGCTGCCAACCTCCGAGATCGCTCAATGGAGGCCCTTTTTTGGTGGTGAGTCGGTTTTGAGGGGTTGGGAGTTTGGGTTTAGGGGTCTACAGGGGTCTATAGGGGTCTATAGGGGATTAGGGGATTCGGGTTTAGGGTTTAGGAGCTTGTGAAGGATCCGGAGATTGGCGCTCGCGTTAGGCAGATGTCTTCCCGAGGCCCGAGTGACAGATGGCAGGCTGTAATTGACTGCTTACAGACGATGGGATGTTCTTGCTGCTCAGCTCCCACCATGCAACTTCAAACTCTAGCTCTCGGGTCACTTGCTCCCAACGCGATGCGCCCGGAACGCTACTAAAGTACTGGGTCCGGGGAGTCCGGAGCATGAAATGGATTACGGCTTAATCTCGCATTTCCGTTGCGGGCCATGGCGAAGTGAAACAGCCGCTTGCGAGTCTGCCCTTCTTCTCGCTGGGCAATTGCAGAGAGGCATAATCGTGGGTGGGTTGCCAGCTAGAAGTGACAGCGGCCCGGGTGTTGTGGCAGCACCAGTGGACCAGCGGAAACGGAAGAACAGGAGCAGGAGAGGCCAATGTGAGAGGGAAACGTTTGTGACATGGTTGTGATTTTGCGACAGCGGCCTACTGAGAATAGGTTGAGCTCGTACCGAACGGACAACTCATGTATAGTCCCTGAAGGCCTCGTGCGAGCTTTCGTTCGCTACCACCACGTGCAGTCGCTGATGAAACGGACCCTGCCGCGGCAAGTGTGTAACTAAGCTTAAGTCTTAAGTCGGCTTAAATCATGTGTTTGCAACAGCTTTGTGGCTTCAGTTTATACTTTTGCAGTAGCGAATTCATGGAGTTGCGCATGCCGTGCTTTCAACCAATACGAAACACAGAATGTGTGCTTGGACGGCATTTATGGGATGCTATAGGCGATTGTGCCAAGTCGACAATTTCGACACCTTGAAGGCCGTCGCAGACCTTTAGAATGAGTGCATCCAGCCGGGCTAGGGAGCAAAGCTGGGTGGGCCAGACTGGTTGAAGCCAGGAGCTACATGCGAATGTGGGCTGAAGACTTGGGCGTCGCGGCAGGACGCCTACTTCAGCAAGCATGCTTCGGTTTATGTGTGAGGCACATCTACGGCAGCTGTACGGCCTTGGCAAGTCAATAGGGTACTTTGTTTGAGTGTCGGTCAGCCAGTTAGCACTTCGCCAGGAGATGATTTTCTTTGCGCATGTGGAGCCAAACCCAGGGAATGAAACAAAAGTAAAAGCGATGGGAGGTCAATTCTGTTGTTCCCAGCAGCAGCAGCAGCAGGAGGAGGAGTGATGGTGGTTGTGGTGGTGGTGGTCGTAGTAGTAGTCGTCGT